TTTGGGGATTTGGGGATTTGGCTTTTCCCATGGAATTCAATGGTCTTTGAGGTCCCTTCCAACCCAAACCACTCCAGAATTCAGAATTCCACATTATTGAGGAAAAACCTGGGCAGAAAAAAACATTTGGAGTTCTGAGTTCAGCTCTTGCTGATTTTTAATTTTTTAACTTGGAGCCGCCACTGAAAGTTGATTTTTTGAAGTGTTTTATTCTTTATTTCAAGTGTGTGCATGGTTTGAACTGGGACAGTGAGAAAATCAGGATTTTAGGTGTAAAACCCCACATTCAGGTGGGATTTGTGCCACCCTGCCATCCCAAAATTGAATTTTTTTGTCCCTCCAGGTCACCAATCGTTACCTGTCCCAGCTGAAGGATGCTCACAAAAACCATCCCTTCATCCAGGAGTACCAGGCCAAGGTGGGGAATGGCAGAAAATAGAAATAATAACAGAAATAAAGCAAATAAATTCAATTTTCCCCCGTTGTGATGGAGCCAGGGGAATTAAATCCCAAGGGGGCAGCTCAGTCTCGTTCAGTTTTCCCTTTTGGGAATCCCAAGGCTGGAAGAAAAGCTCTGAGATGCAGATTTTTAACCCAGGTGGAAATTTGGGCTCAAAACAGGAAAAAATGGGAGAAGGAATTTGGGGAGAGGGGAAGGGAAAAGCAGCAAAAGACAAAAAAAGGGATAAATGGGATTTGCTGTTAATTTAGTGTTAATTTCAATGAGGTAAATTGGAATTAATTTAGTTTTAGGGAGCTGGTTGTGGTGGGTTCAGCTAGAGGAGAAGTAATAAATGTAAATTGGAGGGGGATTGATTGGTAATCATTATTCAATGATTAATTAATGATTCATTAATTCTATTTATTTTTGGCTGTGGTTGCAGGAGAACGACTTTGACCGCCTGGCGCTGCAGTATGCGCCCAGTGCCTGAGCCTGGCACCCAAAAAATCACTTTTGGACCCAAAAAATCCCTTTTGGAACCCAGAAATAACCCTGGAACACAAAAAAAAAAAAGATTCCAGCATCTCCAGGATCCTTCCCAAATTCTGCATCATCTCCAGCCCTTCTGCCAATTCCTTTTGGGATGAAAACCCCTGGCGAGAGGGAAAAACCCCAAAATAATAAAAAGAATAAAAATAAAAATAAATAAAAATAATTTTCCTGTAATAGGCTCAGGCTGAGTGTGGTGTCACCAACCCCTGCTGGCTCCAACCTGGATTTTTAGGAATTATTTTAACAGAAATCCCCATGGGAATTTCCCCAATCCCTGCAGGGTTCAACCTGGATTTTTTTAGAATTTTTTAGGAATTTTACGAATTTTTTTTTATTTTTTTAGGATTTATGGCCACCTCCTCATGGGAATTTCCCCCAATCCAAACCAGATCCCAACCTGGATTTTTAGGGATTATTTTGTCAGCGATCCCCACTGAAATTTCCCCAATCTCTGCAGAGTCCAACTTGGATTTTTTAGGAATTATTGTTGCAAAAATCTCCCTGGGAATTTCCCCTATCCCAGCCAGATCCAACCTGGATTTTTTAGGAATTCTGGCCCCTTCCCCATGGGAATTTTCCCCAAACCCAGCCATATCCAACCTGGATTTTTAGGAATTATTGTGGCAGAGATCCCCATGGGAATATCCCCTATCCCTGGTGGATCCAACCTGGGTTTTTAGGAATTATTTTCGCAAAAATCTCCCTGGGAATTTCCCAAATCCCAGCCAGATCCAACCTGGATTTTTTAGGGATTATTGTGGCAGAAATCCCCATGGGAATTTCCCCAATCCCTGCAGGGTCCAACTTGGATTTTTCTAGGAATTTTAGGATTTTTTTTATTTTTTTGGAATTATGGCCCCTTCCCCATGGGAATTTTCCCCAAACCCAGCCAGATCCAACCTGGATTTTTTAGGAATAATTGTGGCAGAAATCCCCATGGGAATATCCCAAATCCCTGCAGGGTCCAACTTGGATTTTTTTTAGGAATTTTAGGATTTTTTTTTTTTATTTTTTAGGAATTCTAGCCCCTTCCCCATGGGAATTCCAAATCCCAGCCAGATCCAACCTGGATTTTTAGGAATTAATGTGGCAGAGATCCCCATGGGAATTTCCCCAATCCCTGCTGGATCCAACCTGGATTTTTTAGGAATTTTAGGATTTTTTTTATTTTTTAGGAATTATGGAATTATGGCCCCTTCCCCATGGGAATTTCCCCCAATCCAAACCAGATCCCAACCTGGATTTTTAGGGATTATTTTGGCAGAAATCTCCCTGGGAATTTCTCCCAAACCCAGACAGATCCAACCTGGATTTTTTAGGAATTATTTTGGCAGAAATCCCCGTGGTAATTTCCCCTATCCCTGCAGGGTCCAACCTGGATTTTTGGGATTTCTGCCCCCTGCCCAGGTGAATTTCCCTGAGTTTGGGCAGTTTTGGTTTCCCGGGTGCCCCGGTGGCACTGAAAGGTCCCTTTGTGCCGCCTGGCCGGGCTGTGGCGTCCCCTCAATGTCCCCTCAATGTCCCCTCGGTGTCCCCTCGGTGTCCCCTCAATGTCCCCTCAGCGTCCCCTCAGTGTCCCCTCAGCGTCCCCTCGGCGTACCCTCAATGTCCCCTCAATGTCCCTCAATGTCCCCTCAGCGTCCCCTCAGTGTCCCCTCAGTGTCCCCTCGGTGTCCCCTCAGTGTCCCCTCAGTGTCCCCTCAGTTTCCCCTCAGTGTCCCCTCGGTGTCCCCCCATTGTCCCCTCAATGTCCCCTCAATGTCCCCTCAATGTCCCCTCACTGTCCCCTCAATGTCCCCTCAGTGTCCCCTCGGTGTCCCCTCAGTGTCCCCCCATTGTCCCCTCAGTGTCCCCTCA